CCCCCCCCCCCCCCTCTTTCTCTTGTCTCGGATGCTCGAAAGGGCGGCAGCGGTTGGCCGAAAGTCGAAAAAGCTGTAGAACCTAGGTGGTGGTTGATCCACCGTAGAGGGTGAAACTTTGATTTGCACCAGGACCAGCCCATCTTCCACCATGAACAAAATCGTCTTTGCGGATGGAACGTTGGGAAGATTGCTGTAGATCCTCAACCCCGCTTTATCCCGCGCGCGCCACCGTAACGTTGATTGCAGTCAGCCCCTACCACTACTGGACGTCCGCACGACCGTCAGGAAGAACATGCCGGTGGTAGCACCCGTACAACCACTACAACAACACGCCCAGGTAGACAAGCACCACGTGTGCCATTGCCGCGCTTCTCGACACAACAAAAGGTGGCCCCAAAGGGATGGTAGCGTAGTTTGGAGCGGTCGAATACATTTTTGGCGTGCAGCCGCGCCGGCTGGTTTCTTTGTAGACAATGCTTTACTATGAAAAAAGCCCCCCCCCTTTCCCCCTCCATCGCGTTGTGCCCCGTCGTCCGCATCGACATCGCAAAAAGGGATGGTTAGGTTAGGCATTAGCGGGCACGCGAGTTCGTGTCATCACACCACCACACGAAAAAACACGAAAAAAGTTCTCTCAGCTTACCCGACCGAGGTCGGCGGCGGTTTTCTATAGCACGCGCAGCCGTCGACAACCCACACGCAAAGGACAGCTATCAAGACCCACTTTCGACAGAACACGCACGCGGGATACAACAACACGCGAGATAGCCTGACGGAAGACAACGAAACCACGGCGGACGTACCCTTCGTCGCCCCGGACGTCGGCGTAAGTCACGTCCCCAGCCTTGCGCACGAAGTCCTTCAGCTCTGACCAGCGCATGCCCTCGGGCAGGCCGGTGATGCGGACCTTGTAGCCAGTGCGGGGCGCGGCGCCGCCAACGCGGGGAGCGCCGTAACCGCCGCCGCCGCCCCCGTAGCCACCGCCGCCGCCACCGTATCCGCCCCCGGGCGGCCCGCGGTCGCGGCCTCTTTGGTGAGACTGTCGACCGTACACACCGTAGCAGAGGTGGAAGAAGGAAAACAGCAGCAAAACCACAACGTAGGAAAACACGACGTTCAAGACGCACATTCCAAATACCGAGGGGGGGGGGGGGGGGGGGGGG